CAAGCATCTGGCACAGAGCTTGACACCTGGTAAGAGCTTAAAAAACTGTAGTCCCTGTTATTATTACTGTCTAAATCCCCTGGCAAAGTTGTTGCTAGAGCCCAGATCTCCTAGTCAGTGTGCCTTCTCACTTAAGACCACATAAATTGTTTCACCCACAGATGACATTTAAGCCTTTGCAATCACCCCACTTTTCCATTTTTCTCTCCTCAAGCTCTACTTCTCTATTTTCCCATTTTCTTTTTCTCTAAGCCCTGTTCTTACTGCTTTGGCTGATTTTTTAGATACCTTAAGTAATGTGAATGGAAAGGATCAAGTTTTGTAACACTGGTTTTTTTTCCAGTCTAATGGCAACATAAATGACATGGCCATACTTTATGTGTTTTTTTTAGAAGTCACCTTAGTGGCATTGCAAAACTCTATTCATTATTTTTTTAAAAAATAATTATTTGTCTCTGCAACTTGCTCACTGCCTTTATAAATGAAATAAGAACCTGTGATCATTTCAGATACTTTGGAATAGACTTTTTGTATTTCTTTGTCAGGGTAGAAAAGGAACTTTTTCCACAAAGCCATATTATGTAAGTGACTGCATTCTTAGGCTTGTAGCATTTTTCTGCCCCTTACTTCTTTTACCTTGCCTTTCCATACAGATTGTATCAGTTGTGAGATCTTGTGCAAGTCACATCACTTCTCCAAGCTGCAATATTACTGACTGTAAATATGTAATACCAACCTTATACACCTGCAGATTTGTTAAAATAATTCAGTAAGTTCTTTGTAAACTGTAAAAAAAAGTAAAATTCATGAAGTTATTGTTAAGACAAATATCAGTAAAGGCAACTGATGGATCAGTAAGGGTGGTGAAAGTTTGAAGTTAATAATAATTGTCTACTTATCAACTGTGAACAGGTCAATTTTGCTGAATTAGTAGGAACAAATGTGTAGGGTTGCAGCAAGTTATTTTCAAATTTTTGATTAGTAGCAAGGTGCTCAGAATCAAACTCCTAAGCATACAGAGCAACTTAACTCTTACAGTACTTTCACATACATTGTCTCATTTAATCTTCAGCACAACTCTGTCAGCCTGATGTCATTATCTCCATTTTATAGATGGAAATTGAATTATAATTTGCTTCTGGGAACATTAGTGATTGAAGCAGGCCTGAAATCCAAGTTGATATTTATACCACTGTGCCTTTTGTTCTAACAAGTTCCTCAGCTATATATGTTTTGTTTATCCAAAGATGAATTAGCCCTGTCAGCTTTTACATACCTTGCTGTAATTCTAAATTAGCTTTATATGCTTTTAGCCCAACCCATAACCTCCCCTGTCTTGTGATTTGTATAATCTGTATCCTGGCCTGCTGGCTATTTCAGAAACACCTATCTTTTTTTTTTTTTTTTCCCAGTGTGCTTGATCATCAGACAGGAAGGGAAGTATTAGAGATTCTAATTAATATCTCCAAAGTGAAGAAGAGAAAAAAAAAGAGGACCTGTGATAATTGCCTATGATAATTAATTTCTTGGGAAACCATATTATTGGTAAGTACCTGGAGTTTCTCCAGTCATGCAAGGTTTATCCCGGTCCAACTCCTAGAACAAGGGGATTGTGTAGCATGGCTTTGAAGAGGTGGGGAAGTGAGGCTGAAAACAGGAAATAGTTTAGGCTTGCCATTCCAGAGGAGATTCTCAGTGGAAAACTGTTTAAGCAATAGTGTTGTGTGAAACTGAGTGGGTAGAAACAGGAAGCTGCCCTCGACATTGATCTTAGCAGTGGAAAATGCCCAGCCTAGTGGTTGTCATCAAGGACTCAGGGGTACTAGACTGTCTGGATTCAAATCTAAGTTTCACCATTTATAGTCTGCATGACTTACAGGAAGTTGTTTAATTTCTCTGTGTTTCAGCTTCTGGTCTTTAAAATGGGAATGAAAATAGTATATCCATCCAAGGTTGACTATGAGTATTATATGATATAATGTATGTAGAGTGCTTAGCATGGGGCAGTGCCTGGAATGCTGTGAATGCTGAACAAATAGTAGGAGGATTGCTACTATTACGGATATTATGACTTGTCACTTGCGCCTTGTATCTTGGACAAGATTTACCTGGAATAGTATCTGGCAAACAAAACAAAACACACAAACAAAAAACAAATGTGCTCAGTGAAAGCTTATTGAATTATCACTCAGCCAAAAATGTCATGATGGTAAAACTGTGTGGTGGGTTGATGGTTTGGGCGGTGAGAGTAGGTTGACCACGGTTCAGGGGAGGCTTCTGGTAAAATAGGCTCAGGACAGACTCCTTATAACAAGAAAATTTATTGTTTAGTCAATGGAAAGGGTTCATGAGAGTTTGGACAATTCATCTGTAAAGGCATCTTGGTATTTCCTCATTTTTAAAAATAAGGAGTTAAGGCCAGATGAGGTTTGTTGTTAACTGTGGTTTGTTAACTGTGGACTGGGGGTGGAGAGTATGAGTGGTTGTTAACTGTGGGGTGGGGGTGGAGAGTATATCAGAAACTGTTTCAAATTTTGTATGTCTGTTTTCATCCCCCATCTTCCCTTTGTCTTCAGGTCCTTTCTCCTCTTGTGAAAAATCCTGTCTTTCCTGGTAACCATATAGTACGTAAAGCACCTCATTGCTCAAGTGGCAGTCTTGTAACCCAGAAGCCAAGGAAAGAGTTGTCTTCACATTCATTTGTATGAGAAGGTCTAGGTGGGACCCTAAGTGTATTGTAATTCAGGGAACTCCTTTCATAGGTTTATAGAAAAGTGACTGAGGAAGTGACTATTCCATTTCCTATCTTTGCTTAAATGTTTTGGGCTGATCTAGGAAATATGCCATTTGATAGCCTGAATCAAATTTCAGTAGCCTATAAAAGGAGTAGAAGCGTGGGATTTTTAACTCTCACCATTTGTGCTGCACATGCGACACAGGGCTATGAAAATATATAAGGACAGATTGATAGGGGAGAGAGAACTTCAAGATCTCTCTGGGAGCAGTTTAAGGGAGTTCTGATTGGCTTCGTCATTACTAGTAATAAGAAAGGATTTCTCTTTGTCAGATCTATTTGCTGTCTTAGATCCCAAAATAACCAGTGTGTTCATCTCAATCTTAGAGAGCAGCTCTGTGGAGAATCTGTTGACAGACCTACCTACTACTTACAGATGCTTTAGAGGACAGCAGTGGGTTTGCATGTGGGCAGAGAGGAATTGAGGAGAGAGATTTATTGGACCTCAGTAAGAGAAACGCTATTCTCTTACGATTTTATGAGACATAGAAAAAAATAGCATGGTGTGGATTCAGCCTGGCTAGCTAACTGAAGGAAGACTAAAATGCTGGAGTCCCAGAGGAAGAGCTTTCATAATCCTCAAATGTGTGGGATCCAGCATAATAGGGTGGAAGTACACTGGGTTAAGAATCACATTTCTGTCCTACTTCCAGCTCTGTTACTAACTTGCTGTGTAATCTTGGGCAGGTCTGAGTTTTACTTCCCAGTATATAAATGAGGCTGGGCTAACATGGTCTCCAAAATACATGCTGGCTTTAACAGTTTGATCTCAAGATTCTATGATGTAATAATTGAAACCTACCACTGTTAGAACATTACAGATGGACCAGGTAGGTTGAAGAGGGTGGTGCAGGGAGAGAGGGTCTCCGCTGCTTAATGAATTTATGTAGGAGAAAAGAAAGGTAATCACTGAATATTGGAATAATGACCTTTACTCCTTAACTTCCTGTGAAATTGTTGGTTCCAGGAATATAGACTCGAAGAAAAGTATAGAACTGGGAGTAGTGATTTTTCTTTGAAAGAAGAGTGGTTGTTGATTAAGTAGGTATGTGGAGACATGAATCCTTTAAATTTTGATCATACAATCAATATTCTTCAAGAATGTAAAGACTATTAAGTTGTATTCTATGACAGTGAAGTGTTGTTTTAAGAAACAGGTGAAAAGTAAGATTTGTCCTTTAGAGAGGTCATTCTTGCTGTATGTGGTATGGAGGATGGCTTGGAGGCAGTAAAGACTGGATAATGAAATCCTGATGATAAATTCCTCATCTTGGAAGGGATCGTGATAATGGAGAGGTTGTATGGGAGAGGGAGAATTTGAAGAAAACTCCCAGGTTTCTGGTTTGGGCAACTGGGAAGATGAGAATGCTATTTACTGATACAGCAAACAGGAAAGAGTGGAACAGATAAAGAGTAGAGAACAGGGGTTTAATATTTATGGAGCAAAAAAATTTCTGAGGTATCTGAGGCTTTGGTGTAGGTTCTGTGCTAAGTAATCAGATAACTTTCAAATACTTTTTTTTTTTTTTTTTTAAGATTTTGTTTATTTGACAGAGAGACACAGTGAGAGCAGGAACAGAAGCAGGGGGAGTGGGAGAGGGAGAAGCAGGCCTCCCACGGAGCAGGGAGCCCGATGCTGGGCTCAATCCCGGGACCCTGGGATCATGACCTGAGCCGAAGGCAGATGCCCAACGACTGAGCCACCCAGGCGCCCCTCAAATACTTTTTAATCTCAGAAAAGAGTATATGTATCAATGTTTTTACTTTGCTGCTAGGGGATAGGCTTGCTATAGAGATTAATGATATCATAACTCCCACTGTGAACCAATAAGGACACTGCTGGGTCTGACTCAGTCTTCAGGCTGAAGCCTATTTGAAGTTATCCTATCCTGGCTGGAGCATGTGATGTATGAAAAAGTCTCTGTGGCGGGGGGGGTATGAAGGGATACAGGCAGTTGTATGTTTGTATGTTTGTATGTTTGTTTTGCCTTTTTTTTTTACTCTTATAGAAAAATGAGCCTAGAATCCTCCCTTTCCAGGTTATTGGTTCCAAACCTGGTTTTTTCTGTTTCCATGGTTCAAAGGGGCACAGTTTTCCCAATTCCTGGTAGAAAGCACACAGAGTTTCCAAATGTGTTTTTAATCACATTTAGTCTTGGTTATTTGAAGTAAGATAAAGTTAAAATGTTGTATTTTTCTTTCTTAGAGTGGAAATTTCGAAGTATTAAATCTTGGAGAAATGGCTTTCATTCATTTGGATGTCAGATGCCTCTATACCCTGATTATTTGCACAACATTTGGCTCTATGCCTTCAAATGCTGAGCTAAAAGGTAAACCAACAATGGAGTAGTTTTAAAATTGGGGATATTAACTGTCTTTTCAACCTATCCTGTGAAAGTGCATAACAAGTAGATAGATTGTTACTGGAAATATTTCAGGAAGTCCATACACAAATGATGTGTTCTTACTAGTCAGCTTCACATATAAGGTAACTAATGATAACATTTTGCAGGATAAAAGCCAAACTAAAAGACACTTTCCATACCTTTTTGTATAGTCTTCTAAGAAATAGGTTAATTATCTGAAACCTCATTGCCTGGTACTCAACTAACTGGAAACTTTCTTTATTTGCGGTCCTTAAGCTTTGAGACAATTAGATAAATATGGAAAAATATACAGAGATTTAAAGTAAAATTTAAAAATAATTACAGAATTATTAAATCATGTCTAATGAATTTTTCTTATTGCAGAAGGTAATCAGAACAATGCATTTCACAAAGATTTGTAACCTTAAGAGTTGAAATAATAGGACTGTCATTTCATTCTTAAAAGAGACCTTTATTGGTACCTGGTGGGGGGTCCCATGTCAGATCATAATTTGTACCACAATTTCTTTTGGTAGATTCTTTTCTTCACCTCAGTAAGTATTATGAAGTTAGGCATTAAAATGAGCAAATGGGCAGAAATGAAAGGAAAATTATTAGCAGAAAGGCAACATGAGGGCAGTACTATAGTAATATTAGATTTGCTAGTAGGAAAATTTATAGAATTATTTGTTTGTTTGCTTTTTAAACCACCAGTTGGGGGAGCCACTGCCATCCACGGCTCCCTCCCCACAAATAAAAGGGGCTTTTTCCTGATGTCACTTTGCTCAGCTGCCTGACATTTTTTCTTACGTCCTTCCAAAGAGTGGCCCTGGTTGGCCCTGGGATAGCTCTGAACTTTAGTTGGCGGATTCAGTTAACCAGAATGGAATCACAAGATCTGCTTGTTCTAATCCTTAAAGTGTTTGTTTAGCCATAGTAGTCATATTTTACACTTTCTATCCCTTTTGTAAGTTATATGCATATAGTAAACACTGGATTAATATTGATTGGTTCTTGCTATTAGAGTGATTTATGTAATAAAGTGTTCCCATCCTAGGCCAAATCTGGTCTTTATAACCACAGAGATAATTCCATGTTGAATTGCCTGTTTCTGTGAAAACTTAATACCTAGGTAGGCAAAGTCATATTTGCATATAGCAGTATTCTAGACTTTTTAACAGCTTTATTGATATGATTTCCATAACATAAAACACAGCCTTTTAAAGTGTACTGTTCAGTGGTCTGTAGTATCTTCACAATATACTTGTGTAACAGCCCCAACTACTCAATTCCAGAATATTTATATCCCCTCCCCCAAAGAAATCGAATATTTATACAGCAGTCATGTGTTATTTTTCCTTTCCTCCAGCCTCTGGCAACCACTAACTGACTTTTGTCTCTGTGGATTTGCCTATTCTGAATATTTCATATAAATTGGTCTTATGTGATCTTTTGTGATTGGCTTCTTTCAAATTAGCTTAATGTTTTCAGGGCTCTTGCATGTTGTAGCATGGATCAGTACTTCTTTCTTATGGCTGAATAATGTTCCATTGTGTAGATGTACTACAGTTTATCCATTCACCACCTGATGGACATATGGAAGTAATCTAGATTTAGCAAGTTTTGTCATAAGATATAGGAAAAAAGTAAAAATATTTTATTGATTTTATTTCAGTTAATCCTCCTCAGGATTTTGAGATAGTGGACCCTGGATATTTAGGTTATCTCTCTTTGCAATGGCAACCTCCACTGTTTCTGGATAATTTTAAGGAATGCACAATAGAATATGAATTAAAATACCGAAACATTGATAGCAAACACTGGAAGGTAAGTAAAGCATGCACTTGCAATATTGGTGTGATTATTAGGACCTTTCTTGTAATTTTCTATGTCAGTGGCCACTCTGATTCCTGTATCTCAATAGCTAGTTTTTTTTAAAGATTTATCTGATAGAGAGACACAAGTAGGCAGAGCGGCGGCAGAGGGAGAGGGAGAAGCAGACTTCCCGCTGAGCAGAGAGCCCATACAGGGCTCGATTCCAGGACCCTGAGATCATGACCTGAGCCAAAGGCAGACGCTTAACCGACTGAGCCACCCAGGTGCCCCCTCAATAGCTATTAAGAAATAACAAGCTGCCATGCCTGCTGCTATCTCCTGTGTATCCTGCCACATCTATTTTTACCCCACCCAGTATTAAGACTACCATTAGAAGTACAGGAAAAAAAAATTGATCCATGGAATACGGACTTGAAGAATACTTACACATTTTACTATATTTTACAGTTACTTACATACCTGTATAAGGGTCTTATATATGCTATTGGACCATAAGCTTTTTCTCTGTAGGAATTAAGCCTTATTTTTCTCTGTACTTATCCCACAGAACACAGCATAGTTCTTTGCATATATTATAGTAAGTGTTCAATGAAAGTTTATTGACTTACTAACGACATAGTCAAGCGTGTTCATTCAAAGATTTCTGTTGTATGAGGCATACTGTTAACCTTCCTCGTTCAGTTTAGGTGGTTTCAAGAGACAATTCAAATACAACATTTATTGAGCAACATTTTGTGCTAGGCACTTGGCTAGATATTGGGAATACAAGGATAAATGACATGATTGTAGTCCTCTGGGAGCTCACAATTTGTCTGGCTTTCTCCAGTTACCTCCAAGATTTTACTGTATGTGATTCCTGAAGAGTTCAAGTGATATTTGAAATGTGATTAGATCATTTGTCATGTAATATGCATATGGTATCTGAAAATTATCTCTTGATTTCAAGTTCATTATAGCTCAAGTTCTTGCCATAGAGACTCTTCTCTTCTCCAGAGTTTTTTGGGGTTATTTTTGGTTTTCTTTTGTTTTGTTTGTTGTTGTTGTCATCGTTGTTTGTTTTTTTTTTAAGATTTTATTTATTTATTTGAGACAGAGAGAATGAGAGAGAGAGAGAGAGCGCACATGAGAGGGGGGAGGGTCAGAGGGAGAAGCAGACTCTCTGCCGAGCAGGGAGCCCAGTGCGGGGCTCGATCCAGGGACTCCAGGATCATGACCTGAGCCGAAGGCAGTCGCTTAACCAACTGAGCCACCCAGGCGCCGTTTGTTTGTTTTGATCTAGGCTGTACATCCAACATGGGGCTCGAACTCACAACCCCAAGATCAAGAGTCGCATGCTCTACCGACTAGGCCAGCCAGGCATCCCTGGGGTTATTTTGAATAAGAAGTTCAGATTCAGATGATCTCATCAGATGATATAATATGCAGAAATGAGCCTGCCAGGAATATATCTAGGACACTGTATCAGATAATCATTAGGAATTTCTTAGCTATTGGGAACACTCCAGGGTGACTTCTTAGCCCTAATAATGTGGCTCATGAGGCTCTCACTGTTTTTAAGTTTGACTTTGTCTCATCTTCTTATCAAACAGACCATCATTACCAAGAATCTACATTACAAAGATGGGTTTGATCTTAACAAAGGTATTGAAGCAAAGATACACACACTTCTGCCAGCGCAATGCACCAATGGATCAGAAGTTCGAAGTTCATGGTCAGAAACTACTTATTGGACATCACCACGAGGTTAAAATAAAGTTCTCTTTTCATATTTAATGCTGTCAGAACAATCCATATAGGGCATAAAGCCCTTAACCTGTATTTACCAGATTGTATGTATAAGTGAAAGTGTGGCAACAAATAGAATTCTTCTTAGGAGTGGGTGACTGGCCTTTTTGAATCCTTTAAATCAGCAAACAAATTTGGCAAAACCTGCATCTTATTAGGTTAATATAGTCCCCAGTTTTGAGGCCATATTAGTAAATATGTATGTGAGTATTTGCTCAACTGCTCAGAACGTCCTAGAATTATTTAGTACCTTTGCATATGCTTACACTAGTACCATTAAATGAGCCCTCAAGGTTTTTTGATTTTTACATGCCTCATTACAGTAAAGTGATTTCTAACAATTTCCTTTTGGAATATTCCTGATTGTATTGATTGCTAAATGAAATGGAGAGATCAAAAGAAATGAATTAAAATTGCATAGTGATTCCCCAAATGATTCATCACCATGCTTTTCAAGCATTCACAGTTCATTCATTCCTTAGGAAATCTGGAAACTAAAATTCAGGATATGGACTGTGTATATTACAACTGGCAATATTTACTCTGCTCTTGGAAATCTGGCATGGGTGTCCATTTTGATACCAATTACCAATTGTTTTACTGGTAAGTATTTTTATAATAAGAATTCCACATTGAGAAAGTATCTATAAAAATTATAGTATGAGTAACTGTATTTTTACTAAATTAAATTTATTATTTTTCAGAGATGTATTTATGATGAAGGTTGCTTACAATTATTTGGGGTTTTTCAATGGAAGTAAGTAGGTTTAGGCTGTAGCTACTGGAAGTCACCCCATGGGTGATATAAGGAATGCAACACTGTTCCTGTACTGGATTAAATTTTGTATCCTTTAGATATATAGGATTATACCCTAAAAAGTTTTGGCATATTTTATAATCTCTCCTTTTAAAAAAAACAGGTACTTATTAACACTGGATCCTTTTTCTGACTTCCCTATCTATTTAACTATCACTGAGGCTTTTAAACTTAGAGCCATCTGAATCTTCTATCTCCTTCATTCCTTCATTGTTTCATGATAACAATGATCACTGCATTCTGACACTCCTTTCCAAGGTTGCACATCTGTTCTTTACTTCTCATCTCTACTATAAGAACTCCACTGGAGGCTCACCTCATTCCACACCTGGATGACTGCCATAGTTTCCCAAATGATGGTCTCTGCTTCTAGTCTCTTCCCTTCCTATTCATTCTGCACACTGTAGCCAGATTTATCTTCCTATATTGCTATTTTCATATATCAAAAACTTCCAGTGTCTATTCATTGCCTCCAGGATAAAAATCGAGTCTGGCATTCAAATTTCTGCCTCACTGTATCACTGCTTTTCCAACATTACCTTCTACTGTCACCAGTGTGAGTGTTCCATTCCATTTAGACCCATCTCTACATTTTTTTTCTCACCCATGTTATGATCTTTTATGTCTTTGTGTGAATTACTATCTGGAATGCCTCTGGCCTTCTCACTAAGTCTTACCCATCTTTCAAGGCCCATCTGGTATTCAGTTTCATTACTCTTTACTGATCACATCGGCTTCTGTTCAGTTTTTCTCTGAACTATTGCTTATTTTGGCTCTTAATTCCTAGTCTGGATGGCATTTAAATTTTTGTCATATATGTGTGCTTTGTCTGCTCCCTTAAATTTTTAAGAGATTGGTGGGCATGAACTGTTTCTTACATTTCTCTTCACTATCTCTGCTGTGCGATGCCTATAGTAGATCATCACAAAATATTCATTAAATGAATGAAACAAATGAGAGTATTGGGACATTGATAAATATGTATCAGAATTTATTCATTTATTAAATAACATAAAAAAGCAAGAGAGGACAAAGTGTTACTCTTTGTGTTTCAGGCCCAAATTATCATGGCTTTTTTCTTTAGACAAATCATAAGATATAAGTGATAAGGCATAAGCTATTGAGAATACTGAGAACTGGGTTCTAATGCCTGCTCTGGCATCATTGAGTTTGGTGGTCTTGGGCAAGCAGTTTTCCTTTCTGGGGTTTCAGTTTCTTCATCTGGAATTGGCTGGGTCAATTTCTACAGTCTAATTTATTTGTTCATTAATTCAACAAATATTAAGCAATTATTTAAACGCCAGGCACTGTTCTAGATAAAAAGGCCAAAAGTATGAATAAGACAAAGTCTCTGCCCTTTTATACATTGTAGTTCATATTTAACATATCTTTATCCTCATCTTAGTAGTGAGGGATAAATACTGACATCTTAGAAACTGGAAAATAAGGGTGCCATGAGGCTTCACATTGGCACATAGTAAATCTGGGTAAAGTCAGGCCTAGAACTCAAGTCTCCCAAACATAATCAGGTGAATTTACCAAGAGACTATCACTTTGCAAACTCTGCCCAAAATAAATACTTCGCTACTTGAAAAGGGAAATTAAACTTATTATAGAATGCTTGTATTTTCTTCCCTGTCTCTAGCTGCTGGCAGCTATTGTGTTAAAAAATAAAGTATATTTTCACTATCATAAAGTTCTTTTATTACCCCCCTCATGCAAATAAATAACAACTTGGGGTAAAAAACAAACCAACAACAACAGAAACAAACTAAATACTTGGCATAAAGTGAATTCAGTAAAGTCTGGCTATTTGTATCAGCACCTGATCAGCTGCTAGATTGGCCTAATTTCAAAAGGGATTTTGGCTGCTTTTACAGATGTCACATTTTGCATTGCAAAGTATAATTTAGGAAAACAAACCAGGCATTTGTGCTTTGAAAATCAGTAGGGAAATCCACCCTAATTCCCACTGGCTTTATTACTGGAAAGAGGTTAACTTTCAATGATATGGCAACATTCCTTGTCTAGGAGAATGGGAAATTAGATATTTACTTGCCAGACAGCTCTTTTTCTTTTTGACCCCTCTGTTGGCTTTTCTGAGGCTTATCTCTTGATGTGTATTATATCTTCAGAGGACTTTCATTCATTTTATTAGACATAACAATATTTTGTAAGTCTGCTTTTTAGATGTGCTTTCTTCTAAGTTCTCCAGTACAATATAAAAAAGGCAGTATCACCCAGCATTATCTATATAAACCCCAGGTTTTCTTAATAGAAATCTTACTCTTTGATTCACAAATCCTGTGGGCAAGTCAACATAACCTAAGTACATGAGTAAGAACCCTTGCCTTATCTCTGATATTTTGTAAAGACTCCCACCAGATTGTAATCTCCATGAAATTATGGACTATGTCTGCTTTCTTTACTATTGTATCCCTAGCACATAGCATAGGATGTTGAGCAACATCAATAAATATTGGTGCTCAATAAATATTGCTCAATAAATATTGCATGTTATTAAATGATTTTTTTATTCACTTGGCATCTTAAGATAATTGAAAACTGAATACCATGATACTTTAAGATATTGGTAAGCACAATTCTTACAATACCTCTTTTTACAGGTATGAGGGCTTGAACCATGCAATACAGTGCACTGATTACATCAATGTTAATGGAAAAAATATGGGATGCAGGTTTCCCTATTTGGAGTCATCAGACTATAAAGATTTCTACATCTGTGTTAATGGATCATCAGAATCCCATCCTATCAGACCCAGCTATTTTATTTTTCAGCTTCAAAATATAGGTGAGTTAAACAACTTCGAAATGTTTCTAGTTTAGGCCATTTACAACCACATGGAAGAGAAGAGATGGAGACAAAGATATAGAGAAACTTATGGAAATGCAAAGCCAGAAAAATGAGGGCCAAGAGAGCATATGAAGAAGCTCTTATTAAATATAAAAGTACAGGGATAAGGAATTGAATGAAGAATAATTTTTTTTTTAGATTTTTATTTAGAATTTACAATTTATTCCCCAGCTTCAAAGAGTTGGTCTGCTGTAAAGTATTTTTGTCTAGTGTTAATGATGGAGTAATTATAGAATCCCTTATTCCCACATCTCAATGGGCAAATGGTTGGATATTCTGAGTCTGAGTTCTTAGTTTTAAGAGTTACAATAATAACAGATTTTAGAGTCAGCCATACCTGGATCTGAATCTTAGATTGACCACTTTCTAGCTGTATGACTTTGGGCCAGATACTTTTAATGTCTGTTTCAATTTCCTTATCAGTAAAATGAGGATAATAGAGGACACTTCATAGGTTTATTATGACATGAGTGAGGTTTTTTTTTTTTATGATTTTATTTATTTGAGAGAGAGAGCGAGCAAGAGAGCATGAGCAGGGTGGTGGGGGGAGGGAGGAAGGAGAAACAGACTCCGTTGCTGAACAAGGAGCCCAATGAGGGGTTCGATCCCAAGACCCTGGGATCATGACCTGAGCTGAAGGCAGACACTTAACCGAATGAGCCACCTAGACACCCCCATGAGTGAGTTTATGATGTGACATCCCTGGTTCAGTGCCTGACATATCATAAGGTATAAATGAGAGTTAGCTATTGATAAAAATAGTAGTAGTAATGGTTGTAGTGGTTGTTCCTAATGCTACCAAATGGAAAAATGACTGTAATGATTTGGCTCTTCTAACCTTTCTTTTGGGCTTAAATATTTGTCAGTATGGCACTTATCAAAATTTAGTTTCCAAAATAACCAAGTTTCTCAATAAACTAATCTTGGTTGGCAAGCAACTTTGATTTTGATTCACATTATAGAGATTAGTCTTAACCCATCCGATTGATTTATCCTAGAGGCTTCTCTTATTAGGTGTCCCTAGCTTTTGATAAGAGCTACTGCTAAGGGTGCCTGGGTGGCTCAGTCGTTAAGCATCTGCCTTTGGCTCAGGTCATGATCCCAGGGTCCTGGAATCCGCCCGCATCGGGCTCCCTGCTCAGCGGGAAGCCTGCTTCTCCCTTTCCCACTCACCCTGCTTGTGTTCCCTTTCTCGCTGTCTCTCTGTCAAATAAATAAAATCTTTAAAAAAAAAGAAAAGAAAAGAGCTACTGCTAAACTTAATGACCTCCATGTTGAAATGGCTTCCTTTTGCTTTTCAGTTAAACCTTTGCCACCAGACTACCTTAGTCTTACTGTGAAGAATTCAGAGGAAATTAACCTGAAATGGAGCATGCCTAAAGGACCCATTCCAGCAAAGTGTTTCATTTATGAAATTGAATTCACAGAAGATGATACTACCTGGGTGGTATGAACATTGCATTTATTTGGGAAAATCATAAACATAGCCTTTTGAATAAAATAAGCAAACATGAGAACCAGAATCAGTTGCTATCCATATGAGGAATAGAATATGACATGTATCTTCGTATAATTTCCAGAAAACAATATAATGTAGGGGACAAAAGAAAGATGCTTGCTTGTGGTCTGAAAGCATAACCGGTCATACCAATTTTAAAGCTACATTAGGAATTTAGAGATAATGTAGTCATTTGTTTCCAATATTGTGCCAATAAATTAAAGTTGCCAAGTACAAGTATGTGATGGGTTATGATGAGGCGTTAGGTGAAAAGAAAAGAAAGGAAAACAACACAAATGTAAAAACCACTTCTTGAGGAACAAGCATCAGGTCAGAATTAGACTGACAGGGCTACTTGAATTGCTTGTAGTGCAGAAGAGGGGCTGACAGAGGAAGTAGACAATGATTGCAAGACTCATTACCCCCCAGCAACAACAATGTGATGATGCCTTTAGCCCTACATTGTTATATGTTAATTTTATTCATTGGTTTCCAACTTAGAAAGTGGTGGAGACACGTAGGTGAGCCATTAGTTCTAATCTATTAATTTCACATACCGTTGAGAAAACTGGGAGTTGAATTGATTTACATGTCGCAAGGAAGTGAAATGATTTACAAATTACTCAGCTATTCCCAGTCTATTACATTATGCTGGTTCCCAAGAAGTCACAACAAAAGAGAAACTGTTATTTTGGATGAGAGATACTGTTCAGTTCTTTGAAATGCAAAACTGAAGCAATTTCTTCAGTGATTTTTTTTTTCCCTTTGAGATCATCCAGCCTTGTGTATTCTCATATCTGAAGAAGTTTCATGCTAAGCCCTGAGCACTGTTACACAGCTTTTATGGCAGTTAACCAAAATACGGAGAAAAAAAAGACTATGTGTATGAACTCTGTAGTTTCCATAGAAATAACATTCACATGATGGCTCCTTTTGCTAACTCAGTATATGTAGCATTTTCCAGTTTATGTAATCTGAGAAATTTGACACTAATCCAAATACTGGGTATCAAAAACACTAAAGCTCTGTAGGCATTTTGCTCTGTCACACGTGCCTTTACCACAGGTGATCCATTATCAATATAGAAAAATTTTATAATATAGGTAAGGAAGGGAAGAAAAAAATGAAAAAAAAAACAAAAAAAACCCCCCACCATACAGAGAGATAATCATTGTTAAGATTTGGTATATAGCTTTCTAGTCACTTGATATTTATATTTTATGTAAGAAAATCCACTACAAAAGTGACAAATCAAATGGGATCTATCTAGCTGCAATTAGATCAAATAATAGCATCTTATTTTTTACTTGGCTTTCAGACTACCACAGTTGAAAATGAGATACAAATCACAAGAACATCAAATGAAAGCCAAAAATTATGCTTTTTGGTAAGAAGTAAAGTAAATATGTATTGCTCAGATGATGGAATCTGGAGTGAGTGGAGTGATGAACAGTGCTGGAAAGGTATGAGATAAGAGCAGTAACTAAATAGCTATTTGCTAGCAGATTTATTGTCTTTCAGTGTATTTTGTAATTATGGAAATCAAAACGCTCTTGCATATAGTCTATAAACAAGATAAATTAGCAAGCACCTCAAACATAGACTTATGGAAAATCTAATATTCAGTTTTAACTAGGAGTAAACTAGTTTAAGTAAGAATCTTGTTATAGTTCTGTCATCAACATTCTTGTTTTTCTGGCTGTTGGTAAAGAGAATATGCTAGTTCTTTTCTTAGGAAGCCCTATTTTAATCAATATTTTTCTAGGCTCTCAATTTTCAAGAGAACAGAAATCTTAAAGCAAGGATAGGTCAGCTTACACTTGTTTTTGACTGTCTAGTACTGTGCCTAATGAGTATTTTTTCTAATTAATATATCATCATTAGTAAAAGCAATTCCATTTACTTCCGATTCTGATTTAAAGTGACTTATGATAAAAAAGACATTTAAATTAAATAACAATATAAACTAAAAAGCCTTGAGAATAAGGCAAAATATTATTGTGCTTTACAGTACACTAGTTTTATCAACAGAAATTACTAATAATTGTTCAAAAGTGAAGGAAATTAACTCAGCATTACTTTTTCAGGTATATAGATATGTAAATACATATATAGATGTAGATACAGACAGATACTGGCATCTATCAATCATTCATCTCCTTTCCTATTGTTCCATTATAATAGAATCCCTGTTTGACTTATCTCACTATTTTTTAAGATATTATTTATTTATTTGATAGAGACACAGCAAGAGAGGGAACACAAGCAGGGGGATGGGAGAGGGAGAAGCAGGCTTCCCGCCGAGCAGGGAGCCCAACGCGGGGCTCGACGCGGGGCTCGATCCCAGGACCCCGGGATCATGACCTGAGCCGAAGGCAGACGCTTAACAACTGAGCCACCTGGGTGCCCCTATTATCTCACTATTATATTGATATTGTTCTCTTTCATTCATCAAATATTTAAAAAGTACCTAATATGTGTCAGACTTTTTCAGGCATCAGAGATACAACAGTAAAAAAAAAATCCTTGTCCTCACAGAATTGATATTTTATTCTCATATTGAAGAGATAAGCAATAAACAAAGAAGCCAACTGTATCATATAATCACTAAGGGCTATGAAGAAAACACAGGTAGAAAGGGAGAACTCAATTAACCAAGAGATGTATGGAATCAGAAAAGAACACTTACTGGTTCTGTTATTCATTTTTTTTTTTTTTTAAGATTTTATTTATTCATTTGAGAGAGAGAATGAGAGAGAGAGAGCAGGAGGGGGGGAAGGTCAGAGGGAGAAGCAGACTCCCCGCTGAGCAGGGAGCCCGACGTGGGACTCGATCCCGGGACTCCAGGATCATGACCCGAGCCGAAGGCAGTCGCTTAACCAACTGAGCCACACAGGCGCCCCCTGTTATTCATTTTTGTCACTGCTATAAGAAATCTAGAGATTCTATGGAACTGACATTGAGAAAATCGTATCCTGAATTATATCTTAACATTAGTCAATGCATAGTTTAAAGTGGGTATGGTGAGTTTTTAGGCACATTCTCAAAATAATACATACTTTATGTATATTACATACAATCTTGACTGCGATATTGATGTTTGAGATTTCTTTTGCCCTGATGGGTACCTTTTGGTAGAATCTTAATAACTTTGAGTTTAAGAACAAAGAATTTCCTGAGATACATGTGGTCTTAACTCTTTAGATTTCTGTTTTAATTTAATTTACTTTTATTATGTTATTTTAATCACCATACATTACATCATTAGTTTTTGATGTAGTGTTCCATGATTCATTGTTTGCGTGTAACACCTAGTGCTCCATTCAATATGTGCCCTCTTTAATACCCATCACCAGGCTAACCCATCCCCCCACCCCCCTCCCCTCTAGAACCCTCTGTTTGTTTCTCAGTCTCCCATGGTTCATCTCCCCCTCCTATTTCCCCCCTTTCATTTTTCCCTTCCTACTATCGTCTTCTTCTTTTTGGGGGGGGGCAGATTTCTTATTGAATGTTTCAAGTAATAGAAATATAGGACAATACTTTCTTTCGGAAATGAAAATACATCTTCTTTAGGATTGACTCTGTATGTAGGGAAAGCAACTGGAACCTCAAAGAAGCCTGCTTTCCCACTGTTAATTTTGTATGCCAAAAAGCTTAGATTATTAGTCATTTCTCTGGATTATATCTTGCAGATCTTAACTGAGCTGAACATATGAATTTGGTAATTTTTTAGTAGAAAATAAGACCGTAAGGGAACAGGACAAAGAAAATGGTGGGGTTGAGGGTAGGTTTGAGTGTAGGTATGGGCCTAGGATTCAAGATGCTCTGTAGTACTTCAAAATAAGTAGAAGATACTGGTTTTGGAGGGACAAGTTTTGTCCACTTTTTAAGTTTGTCTAGTGATTGCTCATTTCTTGCTATGCAGAGGAACCATTAAAACTTTATCCTAAAAAGAAAAAAAAAAACAACCTCCTCTAATTTAGTCTCTAAAATGTGAGACAATTTTAAAAACATGACCTTTAAAGACTAGCTCCATTATTCACACAGGGACTTTTATGAAGACCAGTGTAGGGGAGGAAAAATTTTACTTCTACCCTCCTATGTTCTTTGGCTGGTCTGATAGTTAACTTGACATAAGACAGACTAACAGGAGAAAAACAAATTTAATTTTGTTTGTATAGGATCCCATAAAAATATGAGACTCAAGGGTAAGTAGAGCAGTCAGGGCTTATTATATACCATCATGAGCTAAGGAATGGGATAGGGGCCTGGAGCTTCAAAGGGGAATAGGATTCACAGGACAATAAGAAGAGCAGGGTAATTAGATGTTTGCCCTACCATGCAGATAGGTAATTCAGATAAAAGTTATCTTTTTATTTTTTTAAAGATTTTATTTATTTATTTGACAGAGAGAGACACAGTGAGAGAGGGAACACAAGCAGGGGGAGTAGGAGAGGGAGAAGCAGGCTTCCGGCAGAGCAGGGAACCTGATGCGGGGCTCCATCCCAGGACCCTAGGATCATGACCTGAGCTGAAGGCAGACACTTAACGACTGAGCCACCCAGGCGCCCCTAAAAGTTATCTTTGATAATAGTTCTCTCTCTGAGGCAGGCCCACTATCTAAATTCTTTAGATAGTTAAGAGAGAGGTAAGTGTTTTTCTAAAGACTGCTGGGTCTTGATTGTCTTCAGCTCAAAATAATCCACATGCCAAAGTGGCACATTTTCATGTATTCTGCTCCTCTACAGTCCTGCCTTTGAAACTTCAAGTTTTGCAGCCCAGAAACAGTTTAGGTTAAACAGTTGTGTCTCATTTCAAGAGTTGGTGATGCAGGTGGGCTCAAAAAGTTAGGTCTATAATGCAAGCAATCAGGTTATTTAAGAAGAGACACTTCTTTGGAAACAAAAAATGGTTAGTAATTAGGGCAGATTATGATTTCAGCTTCTGACTTCTGAAGGCAACCAGTCAAGAAGATTTCTAGATATACTGCTTAAAGCATCTTTAGATGGACCAAGGGCAGGAAGTGGCAATCTGATAGATTTTCCTGGTTTGTAGTTTGAATGTCTCTAATGATCTTTCTCAGTAGCCCACACTGCAGTAGGCATAAAGATTGTCTATACATGAGCTGTTGTGGTGATTTCTTTGAAGTTTATATCGAGTTGTTTAGCTTTAGCTTGCATGGCTTCAGGAAAAGGGCTTTTTTCTTCTCATTGATTCCAAATCAGAAGGATGAGAGAACACTGGAAATGTCAATTTGGAGGGTTGTAGCCATATATGGAGGGAAAGTAGAAGAGTTCAGGATATAGTCCATTTTATAGGTAGAAAACAAAACCTCAAAGATAATTAACAGTACTAGAATTTGATGTCCACAAAGGTGTATTACTAAAACATAGGTTTTGGGGTGCCTGGGTGGCTCAGTTGTTAAGTGTCTTCAGCTTGGGTCGTGATCCCGGAGTCCTGGGATCGAGCCCCGCATTGGGCTCCCTGCTAGGCGAGCCTGCTTCTCCCTCTCCCTCTGCCTACTGCTCCCCATGCTGTGCTCTCTCTCTCTCTCTCAAATAAATAAATCTTTAAAAAAATAAAAAAATAAATGATACTAAAAAAATAAAATAAAACATAAGTTTCCTCTCTATAGTCAACTCCATTTTTATCGAGAACCACAGTAAGACAAATGTGTTTGCAAAGTCTAGTTTCAATAAACTTGGCCTGATTATCTACATAAGTGCAACAGGAATAATGATTGATCATATAGGCTCCTCTAAATCTGCTTTGCTGGAACTTTTCATAAGGAATCTCAGATTGGATTTTTAAAAGCCTCTGGAGGCTATGAAGCCAGGCTGAATTTTCATCATTAGACTTTGCTTGCACTAACTATAGGTTTGGATGAATTCCTCTCTTCTTGAGGTTCCTCACATTTTCTGAGGTTCCCAAACCTGCCAGGAAGTGACCTTCCTTACTTACCTGGTAATGCTGCCAGGAACCCTGTAAATAAGGCACCAGGCTGATTTTTTTTCCAAAGGGCTTTGATTGCCAGAAAGACCACCTTAGTTCCTTAAAACTGTCTGGTGATATCTGAGTCTATGTAGATCTCTCTCAAATATGACTTGTAGTCAAAGCTTTAGTAATATAACCAATGTTTTCAATTGTGTCCTGTTAACAAGGCAACAGCTTCTCATTGAACTTACACAAATATTGCCGTGAAATAAGAATACTCACTCCAAGTTCTGGAGGGATCAGGTAGGGAGAAAAGTTGTTCCATCTTTGTTCACAAAAATACACTTTACCAAGTTGCTCTAAGATGTAGGTAGCTCAAGAGAAAAAGGTTTCTTTAAATCTGGAAAAAGAAGCCATTAAAAAAGAACAGCAAAGTTTCAAACAAAAGGTTTTAAAAATTATAATTATCCTCATCAATTCATTGAGTCCCATGTAATTCTTGTTCGGCTTTAATCCAGTTTTATCATTA